TCAGGGTTTCATTGCTATTATTTATTTATTTTTTGTGAAGTGTTTTACAGCGCTCGCAACTACATAAGGTCACACGAGCGCGCTGGACACAATAGCCTTTTTTTTAGTTTGGTTGGACGAATTTATTTTGAATTTTCCCCGGGTGTCGGCCTCCTCTTATCGAAAGATGAGAACAGATTAGATGAGATCGGGTTGGGAGGCAAAGGTGGCTGCAGAGATTGACCAAGAATGGCATTGCCTACTTTAGAGAACTTGAACGATTACGGTGACAGGAAAAGAACCGGGATAACTTTTTAAAATGTTTTAATTTTGTTGCCTATTGTTTTTTGTTGTTAGCGCCCGCACTGAGAAATGAGTGGCGAACCATAGTCACTGGTGTCTGTTTCAGACTTGGCTTTTGAAGAAGAAAAGGGGAGGAGTGGTATGGATTGGGATACACATTAAATATATTTCTGCCACTGCTGCTACTTCTGTGGCTTCTGCTGCTGCTGTTTGGGATGATCATGATCAATCCTTTCTCTAAAGTAGGTCGTTTGTGCCTTACAATAGCATATGGTGAGAATAAAAGGGATGGGATCGGATTTCAAGAAATGAGATAGGATGTGTGCAGGGAGAGCCGAGATATACCAATGAAATACGATGCAATGTAGGTTAATGAATACTAATTTAACGAGATGAAATGGGGGGTGGGTTTAACGAGAAAAAACAAGGTGTGGTGTGGCGGCGATGACATTTAATGTTATGTCATTGAGATGATTATGGGATACAACTATTAATATGGGTTATGGTTAGTTAAAAATAGCTGTATATATGAGCGTCGAGCAATACGTGAAGGGGTTTGACTAGAACTGGAATGGGGTGTACCCTAGCACTACCAGTACCAAAGAGTTCGTACGAATAGTACGAAGTCAATCCTCCTCTTGATAGGTATCTAATATTCAATCACGTGGGTGGGGGTGGGGTGGGGGGGTAAGCTTGGGGGACATTTTTCTTTAATGGTCAGATCCCAACCCAACAGCTTCCTCCAATTATTCGTTCTCTCGCTCTAATCTGAGGCCACCGCATCCCCGTGTCAAACGAGTGTTCTGAACTTTCAGAACACAAGAGTGACTTGACTAGTTCAGGATAAAAGCAAATTTCCCACCCAACAAACATATATATAATAAACCACCAATCAAACAAAAATGAAGTTATAAGTCCACAAGCTTTTAAAATTGTCACCCTCACAATTTCCAGTTTGTGACTATGCCCGTTTTTTTTAGTGGACTCCTCATATGTTAAAAGCGTCTTTTGCACTTGACGTCACTGTGAACGCAAAAATGGCCCTATTGACCGTAAAGAACCTGGTTGTGCGTTGTGGGTCAAGCAAGACCAGGTGCTCATTTGGGGGGCGCAAGTTGATTAAAATGTTTGCTCTGATACGAGTAGGTAATGAAAGTTACTGTTGCGTTATCAAAGAAGTATTATTACCTTCTGAATAGTTCTAAATCTGTCCACGCAGTATGTTTATATTAGTATATATACATGTATAATATATATATATATATATATATATATATATATATATATAACTTTCATGAATGAATGAATGTCATAAATTAATCAATTCATTAATTCATTCGTTAATTAATATATTCATTCATTCATTCCTTCATTTATTTGTCTATTAAAGTTGTTTATTTGTTCATTTATTTATTTATTTATTTATTTATTTTTGCCTTGCTCTCTTTTTGCTAATAAAAGTAATAATCAGCAAAGTAATGTAATAATTCCTTACTCGTTCCCCCACCCTTAGGTCACCGGAGCTCCGTGTCGGTCTAGTGTCCTGGACTTCCAGTACTTCGAGTGTGGCAGCAAGCTGACCGCCCGCCAGTCGTTCTGTGAGGTGATGGATGCCCCTGAGGGACTGGCGTCGTGTGGGCCGGTGAGGATCATGAGCCATGTGCCCGTAGGTGGAGCAACGCCCGACGACTTTGTCCTGTCTTATCAAAGTAAGTGGGTTTTATTTATTTGCCGGGGTTTTTTTTAAATAGTAAAGTAAAGTTGTTCCCGCATCCGATCCGGACATTGGAGATTGCCTTGTTAGTGAGACAACTTTCTGGGCCTTCAGCATATTGTGGTAGGGTGGCCAGTTCCTTTCCATGCCGCCTCTACTTTCCCAACTCGAAGTTAGGTAGTTAGGTACCCATTACTGCTGGGTGGGCGGGAGAGGGCGAAAAAATCTGTGTTTGAAACGAGGCTAGAACCCGGACTTTCCGCTTCGGAGATGAGCACCCTAACCAGTCCGCTACCGAACCGTCTTTAAATAGTGATATCGTTAAAAACTAAGTACATATATACCCCCCCCCCTCACTACCGTGGGTAGTTGGCAGGTGCTCTGGTGTGGTTTGCTCCTTTTTTTTGTTTGTTTTTGTTACTCTCTTTTAACACCTGTTGACATCCACCCCTTGGCGCTCATATGACCTTATGCAGTTGCGAGCGCCGTAAAACCTTACTAAAAGGAACAAATAACACCTTTTAATGTTGACACTTGTGTGACCTAATTGTGTTGCATGTGCTATACATAAAACTCTTACTAAAACATAAGTAAAACCTTACTCTTCAGTTTCTCATGTCATTTTGTCCCCAGGACTGAAGTCAGCCCAGTCCCCGCAGTCTCCCCCTCCCGCAGGCCTCCCATCATGCCCCGTGCCAGCTGCGAAAAACACGTCCACGTCATCATCTGTGTACTCAGGTAACCAATACCCCCCCCC